GTGGTCAGGAACAAATGTAATCGCATGGCAGGATGCTGTAAAAGGACCAAACTTCAGCCAGGAGAACAACTGAGATAATCCATCCACAATACGAGGTTAGTCATTCATATACTGCTGCATGGGCTGGGCTGTAGTTACATCGTAAGGTAACTGAGCTTAAATAAATGATTAGCGGTAATAAAAGCCGAGGGAGGTCAACGGTGATCACTGACTGTTTTAGGAGCTTTTTGAGATTAAATAGAAGAAAATACAAAACATTAAACATGTTAACAACACAAACGCCATATTAAACGCAGACTACTTTAGGCCCGGAAGTAGGATTCGTCACGTCATCACTTAACGACCGGATAGCAGGGCCCTAAGAGAGCTGTGCATAAATGAATGCCAACAAACCTCAATAAAGTCAGACAACATTGTAATAATGAATGGGCTCAAATTCCTCCACAATGATGTGACAGACTAAAGACATCTAGTTACTGTTGCTAAAAGTTCTGAATCTTCTGGTGTACTAATTTTTCAAAATTACTTTTTTTTAGTTAAATAACTAATGAGACAGTATAATGTGTCTTCTGTTGTTATCTAATTTAAGAGCTGGTGATGACCAGATAATTTTTTATCATGTCCTAATATGTAATATTTTGCAACATACTGCATACTGTAATGTCCAACTAGACACTAGATACACTACATGCATTTATGCCACTTAATGTTCACTGCATATATGCACATGGACACATAGTTGCATAGAGACCTACATAATTTGACCATAATGCTTTTTTGGGAAAAAGAACATAAAAAAACTGGAGCATTGCTTTATTTTTTCACCCATATACATCATCATAGAAAAGAGCTCCAGGGGAATAATGCTGCACATAGCATTTTTTTTTTTGTTTGCTTGCTCTAATTCAACATGTAGGCCTTATGACTATACTTAGAATATACCGTAAAATCTTTCCTTACATATCAAAACAGTGTTTCTCTTTTTTCTAGTTTGTATGATGTGCGGCTCAGTGATTTTAACTCACTGGGCTTGGCTGTGTGTATGGATGTGTGTGCAGAGGGGTGTCTGTGTCGTACATAATGTGTATAATGGCCTTGCTCTGCAGAATGACAGCAACGTAACATTAGAACGGTTTGCCTGAGTACTATCGCTAGCGGGCCAAGACATCAGTGGAAGCTATCACTGGCACTACACTAAATATTCATTGCTAGCACACTGATTATTAACGTAGAATGGAAAAGATATATGATAGTCATAGTTATGCTGACAGGCAGACCTCTATACATTAAAACATATTCAGAACACAGAGGAGTAGATGTGTTTCATGCATGTTGAACCGTAACTAGACAATGATCAAATCTGTAATAATAATTTAGCCTTGAAAAATTAAGGCTAATGCATAATTGGCATTATATGCCAATTATGCATATAATTGGCATCGAATATATAAATGTGGAGAGACTCCCAACTCGACCTAACTAGTTGCCAACTGGTTTCTATAAAAGAACGTGCATGTTACGTTGCCATTAAATTGCTGTCCTACAATAATCCAATTTTTTTTTAGGAATCCCTACTTTTGTGTTTACCAGTTCATTTATGGTAAATGAGCTGGTTCTTACATAGTGCTTTTCTACTCTGAGCACTCAGAGCACTTCATATAACATGTCTCATTCACACACATTTATATAAGAACTTTTTTCTACATCTAAGTGCTTGCTATCTAACATTCAACTCTGTGTCTTATTAAGTGTTATTAATCTAATTCAGTCTTATTGAGTCTGTCTTATTGCTGCTCTATTGCTGGTTTGATGAACCAAAGTTGCTTTGATCACTCATCTCATACCTGCCCTTCGTCTTCAAAGAAACATTTTCAAAGGGCAACAAAACCACAAATTCATTGCACATGGTTGCAGTAACTTTGGTGTTGCTGCAATCTCAAACCACCATTTTCCCTAATGTGACTGCAGAGTCTTTTTTTCATGTTTATGAATACAACAATGAATCAACAAAAGTGCAGTTCAGTGTTAAAGTTCTGTGTTTTGCTAATCTATCAATCCAGATTTTATCCTCCTGCCCACAGACACTGCATTGTTGGGAAGCATTTGCTGAAATACTGCTGAAAAGCTCTCAGTTCACTGATAGAGACACAGTCCTTGTAGAAGTGTGTTACTCAGCACCATCTTGAAATGCCCATAGACACTTATTTGAAAAGTTTTTTGAACCATTACTTATTTTAAAAATCAACAGTACATCAAAATTGCATGTTGTGAAGTCCACCCCACCCCTGCAGCTGAGCCACAAACCACACTTCACCACACATGTATTCAATCAAATCAAATTTTAAAAAAAATGATTAAAAGGTTTGCTGACTTTTTTTTGTTAAGGCCTTTTTTCTCCTGGGAAGTTCTACTGCTTTGGATGTCAATTTTTCCTACAACTTACAATGTCAATAAAAGGCGAGGTCACTTAACAATAACATAAGTATGTGTCATTATAGGATGTTTGCTCAAACAAGTAGAGGATGAGGATTTATTTATTTTTCAACAGAAGAATAATCACAGGAAATGCACTCATTCTTCTGTTTACAGGTAATATTTTGGTCTGTAGAAACGCACTGGCTCAACAACAAGGTGGTTATTCGGTTAAGTTGATCTTATAATTTTATGATTTTATTCTTTTTTATTGTGCTGTGGCAAACAATGTTCTCAATAATAAACATGACATAGGGATAAGACAACAGAAAAGAAATAGAAAACAGCAAGTGTAAAAAGAAATAAACTAACCACGCATCTTTTCCACTTTAGAAACAAAGGTGGCTAATTTAACCTTTTTATATGCATTATTAACCAACCAAAATGTTTCTGGAGCCAGAGATTTTCTTTTGCATTGTGTTTTGATGGTCAGTAAAAATGAAATGAAACAGCAACCTGCTTCATGCCCCGTCGGAGTACGTGGTCTCCCACCTCAGGTTGAGATTTGTAGTGGCATAATGACAGTGAGAACAGGATGCAAGCAGCCTCTTAACAGTTAGGGGTTTTTTTGTAAATGAGACTCTCAATCTCACAGCAAGAGACCACTCTGTAATTAGTGGCTGACTTTTGCTTCCTCTCCTTTCTGTACTCAAGCCACACCAGGGGATTTGAGAGGAGAACTGGGGAATTCTGATAGATAGATCGGAAAGAAGAGGCAGAGAATCAGAGAGAATTCCTCTCTGTGGAAATGATGTCCTCCCACGCAGGAGAACTGGCAGACAGTTCTTGGACAAAAGGTTTTGCCTGCTCATTAGATAAGCAGGAAACTAGCAAAACTCTTCCAAGCATCCTCACTCTCTCGTCCTCTCTCCCTCTTCTCAAAACACAAACACGCACATGCTGACACAAATCGATGTATACACAGAAGACATTCACGTTGGAGCTGCCAAACTAATACACGCAGAAAGGTAGAAAAATATTTTGAAGCTAAACTGGCATGCACGGACTGGTTTTAAAAGAAGTCATGTTCACCATTTCCACCCTCATTTCATTCACTGGCATTTTGAATCTGACTCATAACAGCATTCAGTGCAGTTTCTTCATTATAATCTGCCATACAATCAGGCTCCATTTCCCAGTGTAGTCATGACCTCCCCTCTCAGTTCAGAGTATCTGCAGGGTCTTATCCATCTTCCTCTTGTGCGTCTGGGTATTTGGGCTGAGGTTGTGCAATTGCTGCTTCTCAGTGGCAAAATATAATGTGTTACACACAACGATCCATTTCTAAAGGAGTGAGAGAGTGGCTGGTGATTAAAAAAATAATTGTCGGTGAAACATAATCTCCTCCACAGGTGAGCAAGTAACTATTCAATGTCGGCCCCTGATTTGACTGAAAAGCAGATAGGCGATAGTAGTGTATAAGGAGTGCACGTAGTATAGAGGAAGGAATAAGGGGATTTAATTTGTGTCATTATAATATTATACATTATATCAGTTTGGATGCTTTTTATTTAGCCATTTCTATCCACGTCAGTGTTTGCTAGTCCCCATATCAACTTACATATTATTCTGCAGAAATCTAATTCAAACTCTAGCCAAAATAATTTGTTTGATTTGTGTAAATTCAACCAGTTAAAAAGACAAATTGCTCAAGTATACATGTGCGTACATGTTGTGATAACGGGGCCTTACCTTAGCTGGGGTCTCCCTGGCTGTTTCTGAATCTGACCAGCGATGTTTGAGTTGAGAGGAGCTGGGCACACATTCACAGAACGTCTGCATGGGACAAACAGATAGGGCCACCAGTGTTGGCGTTTGTTCAAGTCACATGTGCAATCAAGCATGCGTGCACATGCAAACAAACACACACATACATGCATAGACGCACAGGCTTTGGATATATACTCCTGAAAACCAGTAAAGGAATACTTTTTAATCACAGTTTAGCATCAAGTCAATTAAACTTGTAGGATATTGATCTGGCAGCAGAGGTTTGGTGTTAATGAAATTAAAAACAGGTGCACTAGAGGGGTAACAATAAGCACCCACAATAGGAATGGTTTTACAGGTGGAGGCCACTGACTTTTTTCCCTCCTCATCCCTTCTGACTGTTTGGCTAGGGCCAGTGTCACTACTGGTACCGTGAGCTGAAATCTGGACCGTACAGAGGGTGCAAAGGTCCTAGCACATTGGACCTTGAGGGGATTGAGGGGATTTCAAGAGACAGGCAGTTATTCTAAGAGAGCCGGACAGAGCCATAGAAGGTCCTTAACCCATCAGCATGACCAGCATCTACTCCTTTTTGCAAGGAGGAACAGGATGATCACTGTCAGAACTACAAAATGACCTCCAACAGACCACTGGTGTTAATGTGTCTGAGAAAACAATCAGAAACAGACTTTATGAGGAACCTACATCCTCTAATGGGCTACATGGTCACTGCAGAGCACAATGAAACCAGATTGGCATTTGCCATAGAATACCACAATTGGTGCCAAAACTTGCACCCTGTGCTTCTCAGAGATCACAGCAGGTTCACCCTCAGCACATCTGAAAGAGTCTGGATAACCATGTTGAATGTTATACTGCCTGTAATGTCATTCAGCATGACTGGGTTGATAGTAGGTCACTGATCATCAGGGGAGGAATAACCATGGAGGGACGCACAGATCTCTACAGCCAATGGGCAACGGCACCCTGACTGGCATTAGGTATCGAGATGAAATCTTTGGACCCACTGTCAGACCTATCCTGGTGCAGCGGGTTCTGGATTCCACCTGGTGTCCAACAATGCTCAGCCTCACGTGGTAGGAGTGTGCAGGCTGTTCCAGGAGATTGAAGGAATTGATACCAATGACTGTACCCCCACACTCGCCAGACCTAAATCTAATCGAACACCTCTGAAACTTTATGTTTTAGGCCGTCCAACGCTGCCAGGTTGCACTTCAGACTGTTCAGGTCTGCCAAAATGGAGTCTGCTGCATCATTTTTCCACTTTGATTTTCGGGATGTACGAATTCAACCTTCTGTACAGTAGATTCATCATTTTCATTTCCATCAAGTGATGTGGCATCCTGTCATTCCACATTACCCAATCCATGTCAGTATAAATATTCAGCATGACTTTTCAAACGTTTTCTTTACATCTCAAACGTATCATTAAATTCAGTTTTTATGACAGGTTCAATTTCCAGAAATCATGGATAGAGTTTCTTCTACTTTGAGTAAAATAGAAAATATCAAAAAGTAACTTTTAATTGACTGCATGCGGGGAAAACACTGTGTGCAAGCAGCATTTATTCATACAGGTAAATGTGTGCAGTGTGAAATTTGAACATGCTTCAGGATACAGTATGTGCTTAGTGCTGCTTATATGTGTGTTTGTCTAGCGGTTCTAGCTGCTACACAGATAAAAGCAGAATAATTACGGAAGCGTGAGCTTTCTAACTGCTTCCAGAGACCACGTTATTCCATGACCTTAAACGCTACTCCTCCCCCACTGGAATTGCTCAATTAGCTAGGGACAATAACCCCAACACAAAAGCACACATCCCCAATCCCAGACGAGTACTTAAGAATGGATGCAGCAAACATTAGCAATTAATATATCAAAATGAGTTTTCTATCCAAGCCTGGTGTCACAAGATTTTCATTGGTGAATTTATATGACTAAGACTATATGTCTTTACACCTGTTATGAGCAGTATTGTAAGATTACTTTTAAGCTGTACTAATTTTCAGCAACCAGGCGATGAAGTAAGTTGGGTTTGGTTAAGTTTTGGTTTGGTTTGGCAAAGAACCACCGACTCTTATATTCAGCAGACATGGCATGTCCACCCTCCCACACTCCTTTTTTACCTCTGGTTTGGCCTTAGAACTATTTGTGTGCTAATTGTTAAGCTAACTTGATTTGTCTGACTGTTGTGACGCTCATAACTCATATTGTGGTTTTGCAGACATATGACTTCTAACGACATACCATTAACTTGCTCTGTTTTTGGACACGTGGCCAAGTGGTAAGGCCAAGTGATTAAGGCCCCAGTCACACAAACCTACAGACCCATCTACAACCAACTAAAAACCACTGGTCATCAGGGAAAAATATGTATTCCCCTACCAGCTGGTGAGTGGTTGCTGCAGGTTGATGGCAGTCGCTGGGAAATCGACTGCTAAAAGCCCCAGTCACCTACATCTGCTGACAAGTCAATAACTCCCTGACACTAGAGAAAGATGTGTATTCCTTGGCAAAAGCCTCTTTGGGATTGCTTTGGTTGGTCGGAGATTGGCACAGTCATCCAAAGTCCACAACCCCCCCCC